TCGCAATTCTACCAATGTCAAACATCCTGTCGCCGTACATGCATCTCAGCCTGCGCCAACACACCGCACATCCCTTCGTGCCCTTCATCTTGCGGATACACTTGCGCAAATTCATGCGCTCCACAGCAGCTGGTCCCAGTTCGCATTATGATGCCAAAACTGATAGCTTTATCAAGTCAATGTGTTCCCATCTGTCAGAAATCTTGCAGTATGTCTTGCCTGCCGATGATGCCCGCAGCCGCCTGCATGTCACTATGCCGACAACCATGTGAGCAGAAGTGTGCACAATTTACTCCGATTCTAAACAAATGCCTTCCCGCATGCAAACCGACCTGTTCACCTCAGTGCATGAGCCAAGCCGTGATGAATCCTGCCCTAGTATCTTCACTTCAACAATTATTCCCAACAGTTAAAAAACTAGTCAGGCCAGCCGCAACAGCTGCAGCCTTACAGGCTGCAGACCTGCCAGCGATGCCAAATGCTAACGGAGGAAGCCATTCAGTGCTATCATTTGTTGACTCACCATCTTACATTGGAGAACCTAATCAACCTCAGGATTATGCACCTATTCGGGGATCTCTTCCCGAAGAGGCCATGCCACCAGCATCGCTCCGAGGACCTCTTCCTGAAGAAGCCATGGTACCACCAGCATTCCGGGGTCCTCTTCCTGAAGAAGCCATGCCGCCAGCACCGTTCCGAGGACCTGCTCCTGGAGAGGCCATGCCTCTTGTTGCCGACCCTCCTTCAGAAGCTGAGCAGCTGGACCAATATCCGCCATCAACTCTTCCACCTGAGTCTCTCCGATCAGTTGGCCCAGAAACTCAGCTTCCACCATCTGCAGCGGATCAGGCAGGACCCATTGTGACATCGGAAGCATACCAACAATCGTTTGGAGAACCTATATCTTCAACGTACGGTCGCGAGTTCATGAGTGAAGCAGGTCGCGATTTTATGGGTGGAGAACGTGGAGCACATCGCGGCTTTATGGGTAGACCACAGGAAGATGAAGATTTTTGGCGAAGGAGGTTCATCTCCAAAAAGCGAATTGACTTGAAGAGGTATGGAACCAATCAGTTCTCTATTTGCACTCTCCAAAAAAACTTTCCATTCAGATTAAATATGGCATCGTCGAATATCAGCCACCTTCCTGCCTGAAGTCTTCATTTCTAGTTCTGTTGACGCTGAAGACGCAAAAGTCTTTGCAAGCTTGAGCGGATTGTTGCTGTATATAAGCGCAAATGAAGATTTATTCAAAACTAAAAGTTTCAGCCGTTGCTATCAAAAACATTAGAAGTAAAAGCTCAGTCTAAGCATAGACAACACAACATTACAATAATAATCACATCATTTAATCTGTCAAAAACTTGATGAGTAGCTTAGTGTTCTGAGATTGATCGTAGTCAAATACTGAAAACAAACAGCTTGAACACGATTCCAGTGTTCAATGCATTCAAGAAGGAGAAAAAGACGCATTCATAAATAAGATTTGCACTACTTCCAATAGAATGGCAACAGCTCGGCAACATTCACACCTAAGAGGAAAAAAACTGTCTTCCAAGGACCACAACATCTAATAGATTACGCTTCTGCATTCCTATAACTTCATATCTGTCATTAACGAAACAGAATGGAATGTTAGACATCTCTATACTTTCCCGAAGACAACTGAATACAATATGATTAAACTGCAACTATGACGACGAGGCTTCAAGAAAGAAAACCTCTTGTTGTTGATTTTCATATTTGAGTTTCGAGGCTAGGAACAATATTAGCAATTGCTACTCATTCTGAAAAAAATTGTTCTGGTCAGGAACAAAAACCAGCAATTTGAGCAAGCGCTTCGCCACAGTCAAGGATACTCGCCTCCGTACTACTGAGGATACAGCAAAACAATCTCTCAGGTCATTCTTCATTCTAGTGTGGTCTTTTTGATAAATAATTAAACTTATTACATTTGCACTATACAACGACTCTCCCCGGCCGGGAATTGAACCCGGGTCTCGCATGTGACAGACGCGGATACTCACCACTATACTACCGA